AATGTAGAATACTCAAAAGTACTTTAAAAGTACTTGAGTTACTTCACTCAGGGAGTAACGCAGTAAAGTAACTGGTTACTTTTTAAAAAAGTAACGCAGTAAAGTACTTTGATTACTTTTAAAGTAACCCTTACCCAACTCCGCACCGTGTCCTGACTGCATGTGAGCGTCAGACGTGTCACGCCACCTCGTGTTACATCAGACGCTCTCTGTCCACTCTGGATCCGTTAGATATGAACTCCGTCAAGTTATGTAATCAAACCATTTACCCAGCAGCTGTGGTGTCAGTAACCACTGACCATGACTGTTGTCACGTAGGTAATAAAGTTCAAACTGAGCTGAGGAGTCTTTGTGTGTCTCAGTGTTCAGGAAGTACCCGGTGCAGCAGGTCCGGTGTCCTCGGGGCCTGCAGGAGGCGGACTTCCTGGACCTGCTGAGGTCCACCTTCCCTCAGCTCGCTGATCAGAAACGTTTCGACGTCTTCACGTCCGACAGGAGTAGGAGACTTCAGCCTCTGAGAGCGAAGACGCTGACGCCTGAGGAGATCTGTCGGAGCATCAGGCTAACAGGGTCTGGAAACTCCGCCCTCTACATCCGACTGAAGGTACTTTGAATTTATCACGGGCACTCTGAGGAAGGTCCAGGATCCTCTGTGCTTCATCAGTTTTTTGGTTGTTGTTTGTGAGAGTGTGTTCTGAGAGTGTTTGGGAACAACTTGTTGCAGACAGGAGAGGATCCTCAGAGCAGCAGTGACAACCTTCATCCTCTGCAGAGAACAGATGATCCTCCGTCCGTCTCCGCCACGACGTCTGCTGATGAAACCGACACACGCACCAGGTAACTAAAGACAAGAAGTCATGTCTGCTCAGAGTTCAGGTGTTCTTAGAAATACCATTCGCAGGCTGCAGGAATGATCATACTGGTTTTTCAGGTTATCGTCTCCCAGAGTTCAGTCTGAGAGGAGGAAGCGCGGCAGACCTCGCATTGGCGAAGAACCGACTCACCACCTGCTCAGAGTCTGCATGCTGGAGGACTCCCAGTCAGACTTGCTCTCAAACAAAGGTAACTATAAAGCTCAGCGTGTTTCCTGCCAGTTGACCCAGAGCTCCCAGTGACCTGTTCTTCCTCTACTCCAGTGCTGATGAAGTCCTCAGTACAGGAAGTCCGGTGTCCTCGGGGCCTGCAGGAGGCAGACTTCCTGGACCTGCTGAGGTCCGCCATCCCTCAGCTGGCGGGAGATGACAAACAGTTTGACGTCTTAAAGTCGGAAAGCAGCCGGAGACTCCATCGTGTGAAAGTGAAGACGATGACGCCAGAGGAGATCTTCAGGAACACCAAGTCCAGCTGCCCCGACAAGACACTCCTCTACATCCGACTGAAGGTACGAACTACAGTTTGACTCTATGCTGACGACTCTGCTCTTACAGCTCCGTGATGCTCTGTGAGGCTCGATTCCTCACGTGTCGCAGGTTTCATAGATAGATTTTTTTTATTTAAAGCCTTTTTTTGTTTCCTTAAAACATCAACAGACAGGAGAGGAAGAGGAGGAGGAGGAGGAGGAGGAGCTTCGCCTTGTGCAGAGAAATGATGAGGTCACCAGTGATTCTCCGTCCTCCACCGCTGTGCTGATCAGAAGTGACGGAGCCGACCTCAGTGCAAGGTAATGTAGAAATGAAATTTGTTTTCCCGACAGGTAATATCTAAAAGGCTGGGCTGTTGTTGTCGTACAGTTTCCACGGCAGCAGATCGCTCTGTGTTCCTAATGGTCAAAGTGACGGCTGTGACGGGAACGACTAAAAGAAAATCAAACATGCCAGACTTTCTGTCGGGACGTCGTGTGGCGTCCCAGACGTGGCGTCGTTTGTCGTCTACTTTAGGCTATAATCAGGCTGATATCGTGTAGTCTGAACCCGACATTAGTGACATCCCTAACGCAGTACTTCCTGTTCGATAGCTGACTCTCAAGTTACAAGTATTTCCTGGTGGTGTTCATGTCGACAGTCGACAAACTTTTCCACAAAGTAACTGATTGTTTTTGCTCCCGTCAGCCCCGTTCAACACGTGGAGGGTAACGGAGCGGAC